TCATGATTATGACCATAATTATCAAATGATGTCGCATTTATTTTAAAAAATGGATAGACTTATAATTTTTTATTAGTAGCTTGTTTGTCGCATTTATTTCAGGAATGGAGATATTTATAATTTTTAAGGAATGGACATTCATGGTTTTTCATTAATAGTTATATAATAGTAAGGGATAAAATATAATATATACTACATAATAGAAAAATTCATATTAAAGTTGATTTTTAGACAATATTAAATAAATATCAAGTCACTTACTTGATTTTCTAAAATCAAAAATAAAAAAAAAACAACATTTATGAGAGAATGAAAATAAAATAATACTAACACTTACCTGATTTGCTAAAATCAGAAATCAAAACCCAATTATTGAAATTCTGTTGAAGCTTGAAGATGATGAAAACAAATAATTTCAAAACTTGAGAGATCAGAGAAGATCGTGCTGATAACGTGTTATGAAATAAATATGAAAAAACAACTATAAGAGAAATGTAAGAAAAAAGTATTTAAAAGGAGTAAGAAAATCTTATTTAAGTATATCTTTACAAGAAGGGGCTTATTTATAAACTAATAACTCCTTATCTAGATTGAATTTACAAGATAAAAATAATACTTAAGAATTAGATAGATTAAATTCTAATCCAATCTAATTTACATCAAATCTACATATAAATAATATAAACGAATACTCATAAAAATATTCAAAACAAAAAGAATTAATAAATAAAGGTGCAAATCATGTCGGCCTAAAGCTACACCAAAATGAATGTTTTCCACGTCAGGTGACCCATCCAAATCAAATGAGATGCATGGACTTATCAAGCAATAAACAAGTATATGGCCACCACAACTGCTTTATAGAAGAATACATGTGTTGGCCTTTGTGATACTATAAATATTTTTTTTCAAAAAAAAAAAGTCATGAAAAATAAATTTATATGATAAATAAAAATAAGAATATTAAGTGTTTAAAAAAAAAGATTTCATTTCGAGTATTTCCAAAAGGTAATACTTGTTCATTGAATGTAATTATTACCTTTTAATAGCAAAATTCAAATTGATCAAGCAAATGCAAAAGAGAATATCAATAAGCCAACAAGTTTTCTTTTAGGTGTTATAAGTTTACTTTTGAAGTGAAGGGAGGAGGGAGGTGCTATGGAATCTGCAGCCTTTGCCCACTTTGCCTAAGGTTAAAGGACCAGGAGAGGGAAAGGTACATGTATAATGTATAATGTATTCCCATCTTTCAAAACCCATTAGACTTTATTTTTCTTATGATTATTATTATTATTATTCCTTTCAACAATTGGATAAGATTTAGAAGAAGGAAAGCATCCGAACTAGTTCTTCATGCTACCTTCCAACATTTACAGAGGATTTCCACTTTTCATATTTTTGACGGAAATTTTTGTCTAAAAATTTTAGCACCGACTCATTTGATTTGACGTTCTATTTTTATTAATAAATTCTTTTTATTAAATTATACATCAGTAATGAATAACATTATTCCGAAATATTTTTTATTAGAAATTCTCTATTGTCGATTGATTTTTCATTAAATGAAAAAGAAAAGGACAGAAAAAAGAACCAGACTAGACTGGTTGAAGAGGATATCAGATCAATTCTGTGGCCAAGAACAACTCGACCAAACAATGAATTTATGATATATATGGTGTCGGTTTGACCAGCAGTGGTCTGACAAGGATGTATATGTTTCTCCTATGAACTTCATGTGCATATGTAAAGGTCAGAGAGGATTTATTGTGATGTGTTTTTTGTTTCCTTTGCATGTCGGCATAGTTATCCAGATGCTTTGGATATTTTGGGGCGCAGACTTTGTTAAACTCATTATTGATTAGTTTTAACAGAACCATCAAGCAGGATTCATGGTCTGCCAAATCGTGATCAAAAGCTGCGCCATGGCCAACACCCACGTTTTGTTTAATTGAAATCTTAAGGGAAATAAAAATAATTTAATGAAAGGAAAACCTGCAAGCCATTTTTTCCTATTGATTTGACTGTCTTTTCTGCCATTGATTTGAACTTGCTTTGCTTTCGGTTTTGATCACCAATCAATAATGTTAAGGATGAACATTGAACATTGGGATCATATGATGTATCACATGGAAAATGCAAGAGAAACCCTTTCTTCCAGCCTATTTTCATAATTGATTGGTTGATTGAAGTAAACTTAATTGACTTCATTGCATATATATAGTAAATGTTATGTCCAAATTAAAATATTTAGTTCAGTAATAAATGCATATATTTCTTTTTCAAAAATTAAATTCGATTTATTTGACTTGATATTTTCTTGTAAAGGTTATAGCATTTTTAAGTTTTATCAAAAAATAATGACAAATTTTCACCTTTTTATCATGTTTACAATATCAACCATAAATGTGAATCAGAAAGAAACAAAAATCAATGATAGACTTGTTGTGTAGAGTTAGTTAGGTAATTACATTTCTTAATGAAATTGTGCCTCAAATACCACGCTGGTAAGTGCATTTCTTTTTCCGTCTCGATTCCTTGATTTCCTTCCAATAAAAGGAAAAGAAATTCCAAATCCCAGCTCCCCAAACTCCACCAGGAAAAGTATCTCTCTCTCTCTCTCTCTTTTTCCTTTTTTTTGCCAATGAAGTAAATGGACCATTGCCGCACGATCTAGGATTGCCACGTACACATTTGACAATTCCAGTTGGCCAAAGACATGAGAGAGAGTCGCTGTCTTGCTGATAAAACACACGTGCATAAAATAGGAACCTGTTCTAATTTTGTTTGCTTCGCACTGGGCAGAGTCAAAAAAGCAAAAATCGTTCCCTCTCTCTCTCTCTCTGTGTCTCGTTCCAGCACAAGTCCACTACTGTATTAATCAGTAAGCCTACTTCTCCATCTTTCCAACACTTTCCTTCTCGGTATCGGCCAGCTAGCCTTTTGCCTATTGCTTAATGATTTTCTTGAAAGACAAATCAAATTCTAAGCTATCTTGTTTCTTTCCATTCACTTTGCTTCACTGAATATTCAGCACATGTACTTACTTTCCTACTTTTTGTTTATAGCAATGAGCTAATCAACTCCATCACGGCGCCGAAATGGCTTCTCTCTAATCCTTATATAAACCCCTTCAGTCCCTCTCTTCTTTTCACCATCAGCAAAGCTATATAAGCAGTCAAGCTCTGCTTTCTTCTAACACCTCTATCCTTCTCTTTTGTGGTTTTTTTGTTTGTTTTTAGGGTCTGGGTTGTTCAAGAAAGAAAACCCTGAAATTATACATACAGAAGAAGAAGAGAATGAATTGTCTCCAGAGTTGGCCTGAGCCGGTGGTTCGAGTTCAGTCTCTGTCTGACAGTGGGATTCATGCCATTCCAGAGCGATACATCAAGCCGCTAACCGACAGGCCTGGCCTGAAAACATGTTCGGAAATCGAAGAACATGTTGACATCCCTGTCGTTGATCTCCAGAACCTGTTTGGGAAAGACCAAGCCCTGCGGGAGGAGACCTTGAGATGCATCTCCAGAGCGTGCCAGGACTGGGGTTTCTTCCAGGCGGTGAACCATGGGGTTAGCCACGATCTGATGAGGCGCACCCGAGAGGTGTGGCGTGGGTTCTTCAACCTGCCGCTTGAAGTGAAGCAAGTGTATGCCAACGCGCCAAGTACCTATGAAGGGTACGGCAGTCGCTTGGGAGTAGAGAAAGGAGCGATTCTGGATTGGAGCGATTACTTTTTTCTTCACTTCATGCCGGTTTCGTTGAGGAATCAAAGCAAGTGGCCTGCACAGCCGTCATCTTGCAGGTCTGCACCCCCTGCCTGCCCCATTCTTTATTTTATCTTTTTACAAAACGCGATACTATGATGTTTTGTTTACGTAAATGTTTTCTTTTTGTTCCTGTCTCTCTGCACGAAAAGAGATTCTTTCTCTTTTCTTACATCTGCCAAGAGAACAAAAACTGGGACAGTGGGATTCGGTCAACTGACAAATAATCTTAGATTTGGCCCGGGTTGCCACTGATGTCTCACGATGTAAACAACCCATATTGACTGAGCTTAATTGATCAACTTTGATCTCCTCTTTTGAAGCCAATAACTGAAGAGACAAAAATTCTAAGGGTAGGAAAACGATTTCATGAAGTCAAAATGGAATGATTGAATAGCTTTTGAAATATACTATGCAACAGTGGTACACGTTAGGCAAGCTGGGAAAGCAAATCCATATCCAGATTGCATGGCCTGCATCGATCCAATGGAGATGGTTTTGACCCTCGAATCTTTCCTAATCTTGCCAAAAGTTAATTAGTTGCAACTTCACATCCAAAGGAGTGTTGGTCGTTTTCAAGTTTGCTTACAATTCACAACAGAAAAAGGAAAGGAAAAAGAAAGAAATTCAGGTTAAACTATTAATCCCCGACCAAAATCGTAGACCCAACTTTGTTGAAATTTGAAAAGGGTATTTTTTTTTCTATGTAATAGGTACGAATAGAGAGAGCTTTAACCTTAAACATGCAGGGAACTGGCTGCGGAATTTACTAATCATTAGCTGTTCACATCTGGATGCAGGGAACTGGTAGCAGAATATGGTGCTGAAGTTGTAAAACTATGTGGAAAGCTGCTGAAGGCGATGTCAACAAATCTTGGTCTACAAGAAGATTACCTGCAGAAGGCCCTCGGCGGAGAAGACATCGGTGCCTGTTTAAGGGTCAACTTCTATCCAAAGTGTCCTCAGCCTGACCTTACCCTAGGTCTTTCCTCACACTCAGACCCTGGTGGCATGACCATTCTCCTCCCTGATCACGACGTAGCGGGACTCCAAGTTCGTAAGAATGGCAAGTGGATCACCGTGAAGCCTGTTCCTAATGCTTTCATTGTCAACGTTGGAGACCAGCTTGAGGTTTCTGATCTCTCTCCCTCTCTAGGATTATCACTCCAACTTCTTCTGTATTATTATTGCCCTATGTTCCAAGAACAAAATAAAGCTGATCATATGTTTCATGAAACATGTTCAGGTGCTGAGCAATGAAATTTACAAGAGCGTTGAACACAGGGTAATCGTGAATTCAGCAAAAGATCGAGTCTCCCTAGCTTTCTTCTGCAACCCAAAGAGTGATTTACTCATCGAACCAGCCAAGGAGCTAGTGAGTAAGGACCGGCCGGCGCTGTATAATCCCATGACGTTTGATGAGTACAGACTTTACATCAGGACCAAGGGTCCTTGTGGCAAAGCGCAAGTTGAATCCTTGAAATCCAATAGATAGTCTCCATACATATATAGTACCTGTGTGATGTGTACCAATCGCTTGCATTTAAATAATGCTCCCAAGCCTGTCCAACCCAGATAGCTTCTGAAAGTACTATAATCAGCCGATTTGAAGCTTTACATGATCATGTGAAAAAATTACTGTATGCAACCATTTCAAGAAGCGATATTAATTTGTGTCATATCATATTAAAAGTTCTAGATGCCCTTTTATTCAAAATTGTTGCCTGAGTCAAAACGAGCCTAAATGATCAAGTGGATGTGGATAAAACTTGTTGCCTGTGCCAATTTTTGGTAGCAAAAACCAATCTGTGATGGCGGGCTTTGCCCACTTGCATTACAAATTAATAGAATCTATCAAATTACGAGCCTAGTCAGATAATTTTCACCTTTTATTTTTTTATATAATAATGTTTTCAAAATCCCGTTACAATAACAGAATATCTGATTATCTCTCAAACACGATTTTAAAAAGATAAACTTAATCGCCGATAACCAGAAAGAATTTTTTTACATATTTATAATATTTTTGTTTATATGAGATCTATTTTCTTAATCGTTCTTGTAACGAACTTTTACCTTTCTAGAATCATAATTGAGATAAATGTCCCATTGTCTTTGGAAAAGAAAAATCGCCTTGGCATGTAGAATTGGAGTTGTTGCCTGGACTAATCTAAGAAACAAATTGATAATTACGTATATGATTAGAACATTTCACCAACTTCTCTCTCTCTCTCTCTTTCTATTTCTTTAGTATACAAGTACACTCAAGAAGCATGCAGTCTCTTGCACACGCATAAAGCTAGTGAGCCACCTGCTTCTTCCTTGGTTTAAGATTTGGATTGAATAAAGACAGCTAAATCTCTTTCTTTCTTTCCTTCTTTTTCAGATTTTTCAAGTTAGGCAGACATTCAATTGCCACGAGGAGATACTAAGGACCAGAAAAATGGTGCCCCCACTTGGTAATTTGGACTGAATAATTGTGATAAGGTTTGAATTTAGGTGGAAAATGAAGCTGCAATGAGTTCCATGTTTTCCCTCACTCCTATTAATTTTCTTTATTTGAATTCCCATCACATGGGCTATATGTAGCTTTTGCTTAAAATATATCGAAAACAACCAACCCAAGATGTCCATTGAACATATTATAATGACAATGTGAACCACCATTGGGGTGGTACATTAATAGGCGACAACATCACACTTTCTTCGAAATTGGGGATGTCAATTTTTAAACAATTAAATACCATCCAGATTAGTTGCCCTGGATATTTTAAGTCGTCGGCCTCCACGTAGATAAAAGTCGATATGATCAAGAGATATATACCGATATTTGATTTCCTGATAAATGTATATGTAATATTTATATTAAGAAATAACGAATTTAAACGTAAACATACATAAATAAATTTCAAATCAGTACGAATTAAAACCAAACTCTTCGATGGACTCAGCTTTGACAAGGGCTATAGCAGAGAGTACAGAAGTAATTGTGGTTCTTATGCTTTGAAGCATTTTCCATGAAGCAGCAAACACATTACATATATGTAAAAGGTCACCAAGGTCGTCTCCACTTACCATCTTTCTAGGATGGGCAAAACGTA